ATATTAAATGTGTGGGAAAATTAGTGTCATAATTTTAAAGCGGTGCTATTGGGAGATGTTTAGAAGTAAATCAGAACAAATTTATTGCTTTGGTGTTTCAAAATTGTAGAAGGTTTGAAAATTAACACAGGAGATAGTGAGCCTGTTAAATATTTAGTTGTTCATTTTTTGTACACCTTCCATTTTTCTATAATGGCCAACGACATTAGGTCCTTGTTACATTCCCTGCTTTATAAAATTAATATTTTTAATTAATTGGCAAATATCCTTCTCAATGAGGTGCATGGCTTCAGAAATGTGCTTACCACTGTTAAAATGAATCGTTTTTAATGTAGGAAGTATAAGAACGACCTAATATCATTGGCTGCTATAGAAAAATCGAAATATATAATGGATATATACAGATTAAAGCTTAGCAAATATAAGATCACTGAGTAACTGCATATTAAAGTGAGCCTGTATAAAGCTCCAGTTCTTATCTTACAATTTTGTACATTGCAATTACATTCATGCCACGATTCCGTACTGAAAAACCTTCTGTTATGTGAAGAAGGGTTATAAAAAGTTAAAAATGTGCACCTAATTTGGATATTAAAAATGTTATGAAATGCCCTCACAAAAACACGTGTGCCAAACTCGGTGGTGGTGGTTAAGTTAAATGTAAGGGTATTGCAAAAAAGAACTATTGTTAAGACAACTTTAACCCTCGGGGGGGGATCTCTTCCAGTATTTCTAAATTGCTTAATGTTCACAATTATTAAAAATGTTTAAGAACAGTACACGTTAAATTTCAAATATGATTAAAACTACTTAGATTTGCTAAGATATGTTTGTGTGTAAATAAATGTAAATACGTAAAACCAATCAAAAATAAATAATGATAAGAAAAATCCTCCTTTCCATTCCAAGAAACTGATTACAAGCTTTTCTTGGACGCTCAATCCACTTGTGACGCATCGTGGGCGCTGCTCCTATTGCATTTCTAAATTCACTTCTCTTGTATACAAGTTGCTTGTCGTTTTTAATCCATCTGCTTGTAACTCTAGTTAGGTATCAATGGCTTGTTTGAATTCGTCTGCAGAAATATGTTTAGAATATTTATCAAAAGTTTCACTGAACATCAGCTGATGATTTGAGAATGAAAAAACAATCATTAACAAAGATTGAGTCTTTGTTTGACTTCTTTCGCATTTGCTGCAGCACTGTCAATTTTACTTCTTTTAGTAACACACTGCTCATGTCTTGAGAACTTGATTAAATTGTTCCTTACACTGACAGGATATGCTGTTCATTTTCACAGTTGCTTACTGAATTATCAGCATGGGGGCATAAGTGAATTAAAAACCTTGAACCTAAATTAAAAGTTATGATCTTTCAAAATGTGAAACAGTGCATTGTTTTGTCTAATAGTGACACTGTCAATATCTGATAAATTCACACTTTCTTCAAAACATTTAATAAAATCAAGTTGTCTGGAATCACTGTGACAGTTCTTGTTGCAAGTCCACCTTGCCTGTGCAATTCCTGGCAATCATCTGAGTTATTGTGCTTAATATAGCATTTCGTTTAGTGTATCTTGAGAAAAAAAATTGGTATGCCACAAGATTGGACAAGAAAAGGCAGGCTCTCAAATTCGCGGATGCAACTTTCTCTATGATCAAGAATCTATTCGACTAGAATTGGTTGCATGTAACAGTGTAAATATTGTGTACATACATACTTTTCGTTAGCTTTCCCACTCAGTGCCTTTGACTGCTCAATATTGAAACACCATTGTAGCACTAAGGGATTAATTATTCCAATTGTCGTCTTTTAAATGCATCTGCAAACCTGGATCCAAAGCAGAAAATACATGCTCAGCAGTTCCGCTGAAAATATTTGTTAAGGTACAAAACCGTTCATGGATTTCTCCGTTCGGTTCATACCGATATATGAACACAAGTTGTTTACATGTCGTATCATTCGTTGATTCATCTGGCGATTTTAGTCACAAATTTTGAGCTTCGTTCCTTGCGATAACAGCAGCCATCACATGATTCTTTAAAAGGCCTCTAGTTTTTAAGCAAATAATGTTCTCCTCACAGGCACTTTCGACGGATCAATGATAACCTGGAAATATGCAATGCCTATTGTGATGTGGTAGCGGGTTTGAATTGTGAGCCTGGAAGCAACATTTAACACCAATTTTCTCAATATTCTTCCTTCTCCTCCCTCTCCTTCCTCTCCTCCCCTTCCTCTTCCTCTACTCCTCCACCCCTCCTCTTCCCCCTACTAAGCCTCTCCCTCCTCTTCCCCCTGCTCCTCCTCCCGCTTCTCTTCCCCTCCTCTTTCAAAATGACACTTTCTAAGATGTGTAACTTTCCGTGTGCACGAACAATCTCTCACATGGACTACTACTGTATAGTCAACCTCATTAAAGAAGTAGAAGTGTAAATACTTCACATTGTTTGTTGTTGAATGTGAAAGTTATTTGGGGTAGCACTCTAAATGAAATTTTGAGTGAATTGTTGCACTACTAATATATGTTTAGTTTTTCAAACACATTTTTTATTAATATTTTTGCAGATTTTCAATTTGTTGCATATGAATAAAGTTTTGTTGTATGATTTTTAAACAGCTTCTGCTGGAGCAGGAGGAGGATACCCAAGGCCAAGCCTATTGCCTGGAAGAGAGGCAACACTGGGCCTCCATCATCCTTCTGAGTTACTAGGCAGAGGGCCTGGATATGCTGATCAGCTGGCACATCAGGTATTTTTGTTATTTTTATTGCTGCAGACACTGCCATGCATACCTTCACATAAAATATACACCTTTCTGTAAACTGTAATTAGACACTTCGTTTTCTTGATCCCTAACAATTTATCATTTGTAATGCAAATAATGGAACAATATTTGCTCATAATTTGTAGGTAGAATTGTGAGATTGGATATAAATAATACCTGATTGCAGACGACTGCATGTTACCATACGCAACCCGATTGATTTTTCTTTATATAATGCAACAAATTCTAACCTCTGGTCTAATCTTTTAAGTCGGAGTTTCTTGCAGCAGCAAGTAGATTTCTTCACTTATGTCACAATAAGGGATAATAGCCAAAATCTCTAGCCCATTTGCCTGTGCAAATAGACTGTATTATACTATTATAGGGGAGTGAGTATTTTCTTCTCAATTCTTTCCAAAAACAGTCCTTGCTATCTGTATTCATAATTCACCTTTGTATGCAAATTGGGGTAGGGTTCCCGGAGCTCAAGAAAACGTGCACAAATTGCTCTTCTACCTCACATACAGATTGTGTGTGCATGCATGCACATGTGGCTGTTGACAGGCCAGAGCCAGAGCCTGGCATTCTCTTAATGTTGTGCATTGAAGCAAATAACGCAATGAAGATTGCAAGGCCAATAAAGCTTCCTACTCAAATTGTGAAATTTGGGAAGTTATAGACTGGTTTGTCAACACATGGGAACTATTCTCTTTGAATATTAATATCGTGGGAGGTTTTAAGGGTAATACACGGTGGGTGGGAGTCCCCATTATGTTACAACAGGGTAAATAATTTTTGTTCATGATGACAGATGGAACTTAGCATTGTTAAGGAAAATTAGGTTGAGCTTAATTTTAATGAGCGCATTCATATACGTTTGTAGAATGTTCAGCTGATAGTGTCATATTTGATATTACAACATGCTCAGTCTCCTCATAATTTTTTTCTTTTATTTTCTGGTAATATGTTTTATAGCTCTTGTCAAGAATTCTATGATTTATGTCAAAACACGCAAAAATATTAGTACTCGTCTACTGTAATGGGGGGCTTCCGTATTATTGCATTTCCTCAATTCTTGGTAAACAATTGTAGTTTCTGTGGCAACTACTTACTCAAGAAAACTGAATTGCACTTTATTTTAAAAATTGCAGGTACCTCATATCTTGGGTAATAATTAGAATACTATAATCAATGATTTTTTTCCATAACATTTATTTAATTTACGTTAACTATTTATTTAATTATGTGAACTTAATAAAATGAAATTCATTTAATATTTCTTGTTTATATTGCACCCTTTTTCATATTATTTCTCTTGGATATTGGTTAAAGTTATTTTTAATTTTCACAAACAGTTCAATTCAGTGGAATCACTTTTGGAGGTTTACATAATGGAGAGAACGTTTGACTTGACATGACAAAAGACTCATAAGTACCTTTTCTGCTCCAGGAGTTATGTTTTTTGCTTCATTGGAGCACATGAAAATTCGAATCTCTGAGAATGTCAAAACATAAAGTTTTATGATACGTATGCAGTAGTGTAGAAATGATCTTGAAAATGAACACTGGATGATTTTGGTTTTGGAGAAACAGAAAGTACAAAATAAATAAATCTCTCCCCTCCCTGAGCCATTTTCATGAAATTTTGAGTAGACAAGTACCTTAAGTTGATTTTGATGTATAAAACATTACGTTAGTACCAATGACTAATGTTTTCTTTTTGTTTGTTATTCTTACAGTTGTCTGCGCAGGCAGCTCATGAACAACTTCAACGTCAAATTATGTTGGAGCGAGAACGATTTCCTCATCCTCATCCTGCATCTTTAGTAGCTCAGCATGAGGAATATTTAAGGTACGTTATGGGTATTACACCAAATTTTGCTTAATTTGATAAATAAAAAAGAAACCTCTAAGAGAAATGTGAAGTCAACATGAAAGAGCAATCGTGCGACTATTGTTGAAACTGCACTGCAAAGAGCACATTGTATGGTAATTTATGGTACCCGTATTTGGTTAGTCAATTTTTTATGCAACAAATCATTCACAACCGGTACAACAACAAAAATATTCTGGTAGAATACTTTATTTTCTTTCCAGCCACCCTACACAATACAAAATAGCTATGATACAGAACCTTACTGACAAAGTCATTGAACTCTCTCATTCCGTTTCACAATTAAATTTAAATTTTATCTAATTAATCTGAATTAATAATTGCTATCAATCCAAAATCGTCAAAAAATGTAGCCTAATGTCCGTAATGACATCTACTCTACCCCGAATTGTGTATACAAGATCAAATGCTACACCAACAACTATGATTGCTGTTACTGTAGGTACTACAAAAAGAAGCCTTAAAATTCATATAAAATAACACCTTCAAGACAACACCAGACAGATACCTATTTCTCACTAACCATGGGATGGATAACAATCACATTTTGGACTGGAATAATGTAGAAATTTTGGATAGAGAAACTAAACTTAGAGCTTAGTAAAAAATGAAGAAAAAATAAGATATCAGAGGCTTTTAAATGTTGAACTCCTTATTCTCGTGCACTGAAACAAAAATTTGTGTGGTGATGTTTGTTGAGGCAGCGAAATACTCGAAGAAAAAGTTGGGAGAGCAATTAGTAGAACCTGCAATGAAACATCACCTCTTCTATCTGTAGCTTCTTGTCAGACATGAGTGTTCTGGAAAAGAGACGACACACACTTGACGTAAATTGTTACTTGGAGAAAGAATTAATGAGTACTGAAGAAATTGTCACAGTTACCTCTGTCCAAACAAATTTACACCTTTCTTTATGAATTTCGTCGTTTTTACTTTATGTTACAACTGCATCCACTGCCTGGCACACCCTGAACCGAACCTTGAAGGTGTTCAGAACGTTTTTAATAAGCTTCCTGCTTCCTGCATCTTGCCTCTGATGACAATGCAAGCTCGTTGGAAATTGCAGGATTTTAAGAACCTTTGACAATGCTCCACATGTTTCGAAATGAGGAGCTGCCCAGGAGCTAATACGATCTTTCAGTGACGTTCCTAACTGAAAGCAACTGACAATCTACGTCAAGGAACTTTGTACGAAAGAAATGAGTATTTGGTCAACAGAGAAGAAATTCGCGCGGCTTTTCGAGAAGAATTAAACTATTTCTGAAGTGCCAAGTTTGAAATGTATAGTCCTTTCCGCTGAAACGCCTTCAAAAAACATAAAAAATGCCCTATTAAAAAACAAGGTGCCAAATTTAAAGCAATTTGGCGGTCAATGTGCCGACAATGTTCTTCATTTTTAGTATTTAAAGCTAGGTACTATGGATTTAGTTGAGACCGGAAAGATGACGTTAATACAGTAAAACATACTCAATGCAGAACCTCAAGGTGACAGTATTTTTTTTCCATATTAGGCAAGATTCCACATTAGACAATGTAATACAGCTGAACTTGTTTTCAGTTCATGTTAGACAGATTTCTGCATTATGCACATTCCGCATTGAGCAAGTTTTACTGTAGTAGGTACATGTCGACACTAATATATTCAGTATGTTAATCATGAGGAACAGTGTATATTTATAAATATTCATAACTTTGTGTATTATGATTTTATCCCCAGATATAAGTAAAAATAAGCTTTTAATTATTGAGACACCATTGATCTGTTGTGGAACATAGCAATTGTGAAACTAATGATTGTCCCCAAAGAGATCCATTTCAAACGCTTTAGGAACCTGTAGTGTAGGGCAACTTAGTAGTTTTGTCAGCTCTCCCAATATCTACATTCATTTTATGTGAAATATCTCCCCTTTTCTTTGAGGTTAAGTTTCAGAAATAGCCATATAGTTCTCAATCTTTTAGATATTTTTCAAAAATATGATTAATTTTATCTCAGAAAGTCTAGTACACAAAAAGTCAATTGGATGTGTGCATGGACATAGCCAAGGGAGGAACTGTCATGCCCCAAAATCTTCAAATTTCTAGCTTCTTTCATATAAAACATACTTTAGGCGGGTCAGATGGCCTAGAGAGAGCAGTAGTACCGTAGCGCTCTCAAACCAGAAAACCAAGTGTTCGAGTCCTGCCATGGACTCGGAGGAATTTGTGTATGTCTGTACACGTGTCCTTTCACCCCTCACTGTCAACATCACCTCATTGTCCGTATCCCCAGAGATATGGACACCTGCTAAAGCAGGATGCACACGTGATCCGAGTTGGTCTACACACTATGTATACCTTAAAATGTATTTCACACTTTTTTAACTTAACCTTCTCAAATTAATTCCAAGGCAACATTTCTTATGATTTACTTTGCACTCCCTTATGTTGTAGTGCAGTCATTCACCACCATACATAGAGTACTATGTAGATACTATTTTCAGAAATTCCATGGAAGCTTGATAGGATAAAAAAATTTGTTACTTCAGATTTTTAAAAAATCTCATTTGTAGAAACCTAATATTACTGAAAAAGAAAATAGTATAATCTTGATTATTTATAAATTATTAATCCCTTTACTTTAAGAAAATCATCATCATCACTGCCACCATGACATTCTGTCCTCCGCTGTCTTCTTCATCTCTATATTTTCTGAAGTGTAGTTTGTTTTGAACTTTTTCATTCTAGGTTCCCCTCTTCCTTTTTTTTGGTGAAAGTGCCGCCTAAAACTATGTCCAAATTATATTTTTTGTTATATCTAACATTGCCGTATTTACCCAAATATAAGACGAGCATTTTCTTCCTCTAAAAATATTTTCCATTTTTCCCATTTTTGACCTCTAAAAATAAAAGGTCATCTTATATTCGCTTGTGATGAAAAATTCGCGTATGAAGAAAAGTGCAATATCAATGTTATTATGTTGTTACTGATATAGTACAAGTGTATTTCACAAAGAAGAGTCAGTTGCAAAAGAAACTCCTGTTTTTTCTGATTGTTGGTATGTTTATGAAATAGATATTTACATAACTTGTACAATGGATTGACCATATAGTAAGGCCTGTATCACACGAGTGTTATGTTGACGTGTATCTATTGCGTCCAGTTATTGGTGGTTATGCTTGCGTATTGATTTTTGTAGATGTGCTGGATAATTCTTTGATCCTTCCAATCTTGATTTTTTCCAGGGAACCTTGTCAAACATTTCTCAAAGGCTACGAATGCTACATACGTGACCCTGTTCATATCCATTCTTCGGACTAATATGCTCTTGAGTTCAGTAATAGCTTCTTTCATACCTCTTCGTGGCTTAAATCTGAATTGATCTTCAAATTTTGCTCTATTTCACCTTTTATTTTTTTTATTATTATTATTGTGATGAGAATTTTGGCAACATGGGATATTAGGGTAATCGTTCTATAATTTTCACATGAAATTATTTAAGAAAATAAAAGCTCTTTTTTATTGGATTCATATTAATGATAATTTTTAATGTTAGAAAACGTTGATTTTGATGCTAACAGTGTTTTGTAGTTTGTTTGTAGATTGTAGTTGTTAGTAGTTTTTGTTTCTAAAACACCATTTGTATTGAAATCCTTCATAGGTTACTATTATTTTCATGTCCCATGTATTCATTGATATTTGTGGATATATCTTGTTCATCAATCCACACAAGACACAATTTTCAGCTGAAGTAACAAATGTGTTTCTTTGCAGGCAGCAGCGTGAACGAGAAATGAAAGTGCGTGCACTGGAAGAAGCAGCTAGAGGTTCTCGGTCTTAAGGTTTGTTTCAAATCAGCAAGCAGAAAGATAATTATTGTGCGCTAATGATACATTTTGCTAGGTGTATTTTTATAAATTTTTTTTAATGCTTTACCTTGCTCTTTACTATTGAATTATTGGTTATCTTCTTGATTTTGTGTAATATAAACATTTAATAGCAGAGTTGGACCAATATTTAATCGGATATGCAATGAGAGTTTTTCGTGGGGGTGGGGGGTAACAGGTGTAGTCAACTTGATGTTTTCTTAAAAAGAATTTTTCATTTATGTTGAATATAAAACGTGTTATTATTTGTTGACTTATAGATTTAAAGTTATCAATTGATATATTGAATGACTTGGTAGTATAGAATAAATAAAAGCCACATTTTTGAATATGTATCAATGGCTTGAGTGGGGGGGGGTGGAGCACCGTGAGCTCCTCACCTCTCCCCTCTGGGGTGTGCCACTGATATTTAATACACCAGACACGTGACATTAGTAGAAGGAATGCTTGAATATGCAGTAGTAGCATAGCTAGGAATTACATGGTTTATGTGACATATTATAATTATTCAGATTATACACAAGAGTAACACTAAAAGTTTTGAGTGTGTGTTAATATTCATTATATTTTCGGCTAGCATATTTCTACATCTTTTCTTCTTCCTGAGTACCCTGCTGCGTTTGCTGCCCACATTCATTAACCCAGGAGAGGTCACATGAGAGAACTTGGACCCCAGGCATTACTTTTATCATGTACAGTTTTGTTTGAGAATATTGTGTACTCTTGTGATCTTCAGTACCTTACCCCGAATCTTTTATCTGCCAAATCCATTATGGGTTACATGATTGCAGGCTGTTGTTAATTGTCAGAAATTCATCTTATCTCGCAGTTGTCTCAAGTGTCGTAAAGCTCTTTTGCATCCTCTTATGTTAGACCTGTGTTGCCAAGCAGAGCCAACCAGCGCATCACTGATGGAGACCTTGTGGTAACCCGTATTTCCCATGACACTATCCAAATAGGCTCCATCAACTTCCAGGAGGAGAAAACCCTATTGATACTTCCAGGAATTGCCAGAAACAGGAATTGCAGATGGAAGTTTGCATCAAATTCATGTATGGTTTATATTGAGATCAATTCTAACAGAATTGTCATGAGAGTTGATATCTAAAATAGCACTGTATTTGCATTGAGAAAAACAAAAGAAGCTGATGTTCTAGGAAAGAAAAGCCTCAAAATAAGATTTGATATTTGAAGGTCAAGTCATCCTGTAAATGAGAGAAGTGCAAAAAAACAGTTATATGTAAATAAATTCATAGTTTGTAATGATTGTGAGTAAACATTTATTACTGAAATTTAAGTACACATACTGATACATTGTCAAACTTAACATTTAAAATATACTGTTGTGTATGAACTTCTTTTGCATTGTATGAAGGAAAAAAGTTTTGATTTTTGCATCTCAAAATGTTTGAATTTTTTAAAATTTATAATAATTATCATTTATTTTTACAATAAATGGGATCCCTTCATACAGTATTATCACAAAAGAAACGAAACTATAAAATATCATCACAGAAGTGCTTGTTTAGTCACAGAAAGTCAATTACAAAAGTCACGAAGAGTTATATTAAGTTGTATAAAAATTGAGGTACGAGGATTAAAAAGTCAGCAAGATTACAAAATTGAGTCACAATTTCATATAATCTAACAAGTGTGTTTGTTTTAATTATAAATAAAAAGGTGCATAGTATATAGTGGTTTGAGGGGGAAACATTGAGTGAAGTCGTAGAAATAATGTCAGAACATTCAATACAGTTAAAATTAATGTCATGGAGAAATAGCAGATCCAAACAAATTCTCCTCACTTGCAATGATTGTAAATCATAACGTTCTCTTATTTTGGATAGTCATGTTCACACCATACCATTGGCGTATTGTTGATAAAGGCTAGTTTGTGAATAAATCTACTCTGAATGGCTCAATTTTGTCTATATCCTATTGTGTATATGGAGATCAAATAACTGATGCATATTCTAATAAAGATCTTGCAAAAAAAATAACAATTTTAAAATTTTAATGTTGATGATATAGGAAGCACAACATAAGAAATTGCAAAGAGTCTTGAGATCCTTGATGCTGCCAACCGATTTAAGGGGTTTGTTATTCGGAAAATATTTGAATGACAAAAAATGTTTTTTCTTAGGAAAACTCTATAAAAAAAACACTAGTCAATGTCAAGCTCCTTGGCATTGGAGTGACACCAGTTCTGCAAACATTCCAGTTGCAGACGTAGGTCATTAGCATCTTCAGACACCCTGGAGACGATTTTGGTGTTGTCTGCATATAGCAAAATTTGGCTTTATTTAATTACAGTCGGTAGAATATTAATGAATAAATTAAATAGCAAGAGTCCAAGGTGGGAATCCAGGAGGACACCAAACTTAAATATTTTAATGGTACGACTGAAAGCTATTGATACTGACATACTCTGATCCATCAGATAAAAAGTTGATCCAGGGCAAAAGTGGGTCGTCCATCCCCAATCTAGACAACTCATGAACAATGATGGTGTGATTCACTCTTTCAAAGCCCCTAGAGAAATTGGTGAAATCATAAATACCCATCATCAAAAGCCGTAGCAATACATTTTTTAAATAGTTAAATTCAGTAATGTAGATTGGTCTGTAGTCATTTCTAAAAGTATATTATTAAAATGAAAATTCAATTTAGATGTAACAATTTTTTCAAAGAACTTTGCGATAGCCCTCAAAATAGAAGTAGGGCGGTAGTAATGACTGACCTGTTGTTTTCAGGAAAAGTACCAGCATTTAAAGACTAATTGAAAAGTATACAAAGTGGGAGCAAGAGAGTATATTTAGATTTCCATGAAAAAAAGTTAAGAATAAAGTCAAAACTAGCATCTTCATTAATTTTCAAGTTTCCAATGGAATCAGAGATGTCCACAGTATTAATCATAATATGAGAAGTGTACATGTGTGGAATGGTAGGAACAGGATAACTGTAATTATTTTATTTATTTTTATCTTATTGACTTTAGAGACATTGGTCTGTCCACTTAACTAAAGTATCACAATCATGACAATCTAATATATAAAATCAATGTTTGTTAATATTTTGTGCGCTGCCGTACCATTCATCCGATTGAGATAAAACTTTGTCATCCTATTTCTTGTACTTGCGCAAAGAATATGTGTGTATGTTTGTTATATGGGAATATGCATGTCTGTCGCACTTTGTCGCGCATTGATGATTTTATATGGTATATTCTGACTCATGCTCCTCTGAACAGAATCTATACACAACCCACTGCACCCTCAAGTATCAAGTAAAACCCTCAAATAAGCACATCTTTGCTACATATTCTGCCCCTGTGATTGTGAAATATCAGTCAGAATTATTACTTGAACCCTATCTTGGGCAAGTAAATCAAATATCTCCTAAACAGCATCATAGCGAATGCATGTCCAAACTTGAGGGACAACATGGTAACAATGGGATACTAGACAACCAGGTCCTAACAAGGACATAGAACAAACCCATACACACACAGAAGTTTTTCTTCTATTAAAAATTTAGCAGAGAGTAGCATAAAATGTGATTAACTATTATGTGACCAAGCATGTAAAGTGTAATATGTGCAATAGCATACGTTTGTAACAGCAAAACATTGCCGGGTCAACTAGTTACATCTATAATTTAATGGTCAGTGGTTAACAAAAGAGGATGCTCTATCATGGCAGCGAAAGAATTGTGATTGAACATCTTGTGGTTCCAAGTCTCTCTCCTGCTGTTCTTTGCAGGACTCAACCTACACTTCTCCTAGACTTCATATACAATAGCTTGACATAATCCGTCTGGCAAGGCTATAACACGTGAATGTCAAGTCAACAACAGAGCTACGACCATTCCTGGCAAAGGTCGGACTGTTACCCGTGTTGCAGAGGCATTTATCGAAACGGGCAAGGCCGTTTAGGAGAGCCATCCCAAGTTGGTTCATAACCCTACTGCCCAACTCAATGGCCCATGCATTAAAGTCCCCAGCAATAGTAAGAGGCCTTCGTGCTCTCACATCATCCATTAATCTATCGAGTAATTCTTGAACTCCTTGAGTGACGCACTGGGTGCGGCATAAACACTATAAAAGTTTATACTAAACCCCCGTGATCTAGGCGAATCTATCCACTGGGACTTGCAAAATGCATTGAAGACCGATTATGTTCCTATACTGGTTGCACAGGATTGCAATGTCTATTTTCAGCTCGTGCCTCATCTGGCTGACATCTTGCGCCATATCGCAAGGATGAAAGGACCCTCCTTATCATTCTTCCAACTCCATTCCGCCTTCACTAAAGCCTTTCGGTAATAGGGGCACTAATAGCTACCAGTTGCATACATCTCTCTATTTTTCCCTTGACAGAGGCAGTACTCAACAGAGGCATGAACATCTTTTACTTACAAAAAAGTTTGTAAATAAATTACACTTCATGGTTTTTCTTATGTTCACAATGAATGCAACTCTTTGCAACTAATTTTCTCTTTTCTATGAGTTTTCCCCATCTAAAACTGAAAATGTTTTACAAAAAGCTTTAATAGACTCACAATATCGTAAAAGTGCTTAAGTCAAAATCTTAGTTTGGAGAAAACAAGGGTTACATTATAGAGTTATCTATATTTACCAACATTTTTTGTCATGAGGGGAGCAACATTTGAAGTTGGTCGTTTTACTAAAATAAAATATAGATACTTAACTTGTAGTTTCAGTTCTTAACCCAATGTCACCAAAAATTGACTTACGAATGTTTACCCCTTGACCACAGATATAATTATAAACTGTAACAAAAAGTATATACTTATGGAGAATTTACTTATATGACCAGACTTGTGAAGAGTGTTCACACAATGCAGCCTCAAGAGAATGAGATCCTGCATGTTCTAGGATTATTTAGAAAAACACTGCAAACACAGAGATTAATAGAAAA